GCAGCTCCCCGTTGAGCACGCAGGCGGGGATGCCAAACTGCTCCAGGAACAGGCGCAGCCTGTAACTCCTCTCCAGCGTGTTGACAAACAGCAGGGACTTGCCCGGGATCAGCGAGAGCTTGAGCAGGGCGTACAGCAGCAGGAACTTGTCCTCCTCGGTCTCACAGACCACCTGAAACTGCTTTAACTGGTCTGGCCCTGGCAGCTGGGATTCCTGCAGCTTGAGAGTAACCTACGGGAAGACGGCCCCGCGGCCCGCGGTCAGGTCAGCTACTGCAAGCTGCTGGCCAACCAGGGCACAAAAGTGTGAGCCAGGGCACCCTGTGTCCCCTTCATCTGGGCGCCATGACAATTCAACGCACCCTAACCGTCGTATGGGTGGAGGACACAAGACTACGATGCGCTAGAGGCACGTGACAGAGAAACACAACATGAGGAATGGCCCTCAGGAGGAAAGCCCTACGGCAGTGACCTTTCAGAAGAGTCCAGCTCACGTAAGGTGAGAGCTTCGGCCATGCTGCTCAAAGCAGTCTTTCTGACCCTTGGGGGTCCCTGCTCATACCCTGAACCACCCCAGTGGACATACGTGTGGTTGTCTGTAGCAGACAGCGTGTTAACAACCGCCGACCTCTAGCGCCTCAGAACCAGAGAGGCTCACGCCCTAACAACCGTCCCACCCGAGATACCAAAGAGCTCCTTCGAGAAGAGAGTTTCACATCAGCGGCTCCAGCTGGTACTGCAGGGCCCTTACCGGGTTATGCAATACCAGCTCCTTGAGGGCCTGCACGTCCTCGTTGAAAGTAGCTGACATCAGAAAAGCCTGATAAATCCGGGGCAAGTGACTGGAACAAAGCAGAACCTGTCAGACTCCAGCTCCGAGCCACCAAGTGTAGCAGGTGAAGCTCCAGCCCCCTGCTCCAGGCCCTGGAGCCTGTTCCCACCCCACGCATCCTCCTTACCAGAGCAGACTCTTGAGTTCCTCCTCAAAACCAAAGGAGAAAAGAAGGTCAGCCTCGTCCACCACCAGCAGCTCCAGGGAGTCTCGCAGGGTCAAGCTGTCTTGCTGCAAGTGGTTTAAGATTCGAGACGGGGTCCCCACTACTATATCGGGCTTCTCCATCAGCACAGCTCTGCAGGCAGGCAACACCTCAGTATGGGGGAGAAGAGCGCAGCTGGGGCCTCACCCCTGCCTGCTCCTCCTCATGACTGCATAACCCCCCCCC